CCCAGGGGCGAGCCAGGGCGCGCCGGGGGGTCCGGGCGGGTGGGGGACGCGGCCAAATCACCTCAGCCACCGCGTCCCGCCTGCGGGCGCTTGCGGGCGCTTGCGGGCGCCTCCCGGCCCCAACTGAAGCTCTCGGGGCTCCTCACCTCCGACTCCCGCCGCTGGCTTCTGAACGTTTCCCGGCCCTTAGGCGCCGCCTGCTTCCCTTTGCCGCCGCCGTTGCCGTTGCCGTTGCCATTGGCGGGCTGGCTCCCGGCCCCCGATGCCGCAGGGTCCTCCATGCGACTCCGGTCAGCGGCTCCTCTCAGCTGCTCAGTGCTCTCTGCCCCGGGCGACCCTGCCGCCTCGCGCCGCGAGCTAGGCTCCGCCCCCTGCACGGTTATTGGCTGCGGCCGCCTCCCGCAGCCCCGCCCCTCTTCACGATTGGCTGTTCGACCGCTCGGAGCGGGACTTGGAAAGGTGGGGGCTCATTCAAGGGATTTTTTTTCCTTATTTTTTTTTTTTTTTTTTTTAGCCCTGCGGCGTTGCTGGTAGCAGTGGACTCCCGAGTTGGCTCCCAGCTCCACCTTCCGAATTCTGGGCCTCCGCTTCTCAATCGGTGTCCCTCAGCATTCAACCCCTCCCAAAGAGAGACTAGACCTTTTGCGGGGAGCTCTGTCTCCCTCTCCTGCTCCAATGCAGTCTTCGTTTCCCCATTATCACAGACCTCTGCCCTCGGATCCCCGGGTCCTGCAAGTGTCCCAAATCCCGCTTCCGTCGCAGGGGAGAAATGGCACCGCCAGGTGGCCAGGAACACCGCAGGAAAGGAGGGACTCGCCCTCTCTGAAAGCTGAGATTTCTGTAGAGAACTCATCTCTCTAGGAGTGAAAGCTCGGCTGGGAGACTAAGGGTTGAGAGGAAGGGTGCGGCGTTTTTATTTCACTGAAATTGCTGGTGCCTTTCAGGAGTGCTCCTGGTCATCTGCCTTTCTCTGCTGAAGTGGAGGCACCTTCCTCCTGGTGTGAGCTAGGGAATAAATGTTGAATGGAGAGAACGCCCGGTCCCCACCTGCTCCCCAGTGCTTTCCTTCATTCTAAGATCCTATCTCAGGGCTCAGTGTTACTTGGGGCCAATGAGGCAGTGTGGCCTGCCCACTCTGGAATTTATCTAAAAAGTAGTAAATGTTTAGGCAGTCTAGGTTGGTAATAGTAGCCCTAAACAAGTAGCCTGAGGGGAATCGTAGGACCCAATGGGTAGAATTGGGGGGATTGAACTGCCACTTTGTTCCAGGCATCACACCAGGCACTTTCTAGGTATAGCACACCTCTCTCTGATAGGTTGCACGAATTGCACGTTACTGATGAGGAAACCGGGACTTACTCCTTGCAGTTCTCAAGGTGTCATATTCCGTCTTGTCTCAGTGTCTTCCATAGGTGCTGTTCTCTCGTTCTGGAGGAAACTTTGTGTTCTAATCTTGGCTAACTTCTATTCTTCCTTAAGATTCTATGTAGTCATCACCTCCTCCTCCAAGAAGCCTTCCTTTTACCCTCCTCAACCCACTCACGCCGTGTTGGTGTCAAATCAAGTCTGCCTGGATCCAAAATCCTTATATTTCCCACTATAGTCCCAAAGTAAGGGGGCCAAAAGGAATTACTCCCCCTTGTTATGTCTTAGGAATAACTCTGTCCCTTTCTTAACCGTATCTCTCCCTCACACTTTTCCTCTGCTAGACAGTAAGTGACAGATCAAGGCAGAGCTGAGAGCAAGCACTCCTTGGAGCTTTCTGAGTTTCTTTCTCTCTCTGGTCCCCCACATCTCTTTACTGTACCCTCCCACCATTTTCCCTTTCCTACCTCTCTTACACACAACCTGTATATAAGCTCCTTGAAAGTAGGGCCAAGTTTTGTTCATTTTCGTATACCTCATTTATGTGTGTTGAACACAGGGTTCCTGTACTATTGATTGAAAAATTATCTGTTGTGGGGGGCTGTCCCTTACATTGTGGGATGTTTAACATAATCCCTGGCCTCTCCTCACTAGATGCCCTTCCCCTACTGTGACAATCAAAAATGTCTCCAGATATTGCATAATGTCCACAGGGGATGAGACCCACTGGTTTAACAGAACTGAATTGATAAGAATTTCCAAGAAAGTCCCTGGCTCAAGGCCTAAACTATTTGATTTTGGAATGTTTTTCAGGGCATCATTTGTTAAACTCTTATTAAAGATTCATACTCTGCTTTAAAATTCACCACCTACACCTAGCTCATCACTGCTTCAGTGTGGTGAACCTCCCCTGGCACAGCCCATTGGGGTTTCTTAATAAAATAATTATTCTACCTACCCCCTACCCAATAACTCTCCTCCTAAGCAGCCAGAGTTCTAGGATTGACAGGCCCAGAACTTCATGGTCCCTTTTGTGAGCCTAGTCTATCAGCAGGGTCCCCAACAGTGGTGGCAGACAGGAGTGGCCATTTTTGAGGTTTGCTCCTTTTCCAGCCTACCCAGAGGGCAAAGGGCGCAGTGATCTTCAGTTGGGAGTAGGATTAAGGACAGCTCTCAGGTCCCCTCTGGCCTCTTTGTAAAGCTGTTTGCTGAGCCTAGAGCTCCATCTGGCTCTACTTTCAGAGAAGGGATGTGAAAAATTGGTGCTATGGAAATCGCAAAGAATCAACATGAGGAGAGACCTCAATCCATTATCTTTTCCACACCCAATGGAATGGGAGACAGTGAAGATCAGACATCTATCTGGTCATTATAGGCCCAGACATTCACAGCTTGACGTAAAGGAGGAAGATTTCTGGAAACAACTCTTAGAAGAAGTACCAAGAAAGCACAGGTTAACTGAAAACTTTGAAACTACAGGCCATCCAATTGGCACACACTCAATTTCTTTTAGCTTATTTGTCAACAAAGAAGTGACAGCTATCAGTACCATTGACCACAGAGGTATCCATAAATACACCTGGAAGCTAATTAGGGGCTGGTTTACAAGTTTTTCCATCTTGCAGAGATGGCTCCAATGCTGAGTTATTTTTAAACCTACACTACCACTTTCCCTTATCCCAAAACTCAGGTTTCCTGAGGCTGCTGGCAGAGGGGTGGAGGTATAAATAGAACCAAACATACCCCTTTCCCCATATAATCACTCCACTCTAATCCATGGTCAGGTATGTGATTAAATAGATAACACCTGGCACTGAGAAAGCTTAAAAATAAGATGCAGGAAGTCTTAAAATACCTAGTTTTTGAGGATATCGGGCAGCCAGAGAAAAGGATAGAATGACCTCCTCTCCCCATTAAGGGCATGTGTGAGGGCAATGAGAAACATCTTGCATACAGGATGTAGAACTAGTTATGGTTGTCAACTAAAGCAGATGGCTATCAGAAAGCTACTTGAAAATGGCTACTCTACTGGTACTTGAGAAAGAACGGGCAGTTGGATTCATCCTCTGATTACCGATTTAGTTGGGCAAAACCTGACTTAGAGACAAATCTCTGCTAGATTCCCTTTGGTTGGATGTTGTCAGGTCCTGGGTGCCAGGGTCCTTCGGTCCCAAACCATGGGATGCTAGCTTCTTCTGTACTCTTCAGCTAAGGGCAACGAACACCTCTCTAAGAGAGGGCTTGGGGAACCTAGAACCAGGCTTTAGTGTCTCTGCCTTAAGCCCACACTTCTCAACTCCCCGGGGTGCTAGTAATGAGAAAGCAGGTTCTTTATACACATAACAGGGAGTCTGGGGGATATTGATTCATGGAATGGCCCACCATGGAATAAGGGACTCTTACAAGGCTGAGGTCAAACATGTCTATTGGTCACTGCTGCAAATTTTCACATCTTGCCCTACAGCAGGCTCTCCAGCCTGTTGCTCTGAAACCTTTCTCATCTCTGAATTCCTAATTCACAGAAGCAAGGAATACTCTCAAGACAGGGATCTGTTTTAAGAATATTTTATTTATCTTTTGAGATTACATATTCATTATTGCTGATCTAATACAATCACTTAGACATAAAGATTTCCAGGAGCCTCTCAGAAATGGTGATCCTTAAGAGGTTTTATTTCCTTTCAGTAAGATGACAATGAGAACTAGATGATTATTTTATATAGTATATATATGTATATATGTATGTATATATAGTTTAGAACTTGTCCACATATAATTGCTGGTGTTACCTATTTTCTTTCCATAATTTTCCTTTATTAAAAACGCTTAATGCAACAATGCATTTTGATTTCTTTTTTAAAACCATGACAAAGTTAATTTTGAAAAAACCCACAGGAGCAGCAATTTCATATCTGTTCAAAGAAAAAACAAGCAGCAAAAAAGCTTTGCAGGACTATGTGGCCATGGGGAGCCTTGCTCATATGGGAGGGCAGGATGAGGAGGTAGGCGGACAGAAGGAAGGTAGACCAGGTAACTTTTATTTTTTTTAAATAATGAGAAAAAGAAAACAATAGTTCCATTAAGAAGGCAAAAAACGACCTTGAAGACTAGCACAAATTCATCACAGGGAAATGGTAAGCCAGGGCCACACACAAAGAGAGAATTAGACTTCTTTCCCATTCTTCCAGATATCTAGGATGCATCTAAGGTGAGAGCTTGAGAAAAGATGTATTTGTTCTGATTCCAAGGGTGGAGGGAATAATGATCAAATTCCAACACTAAAGTAAAACCCAAATATTCAGGAGGCCTGGGCCTCCTTATTCTTAATGGTTGATGACACAGGGTTCCCAGAAAGAAAGCAGAAGTCATCGACACTCACAGGCAAACATCTCACCATGGGCGGCAACAACGGCAATCTAATCTAGAAGCCTAGTGTGCCTCCTTTTTCATGTGGAATTGTTCTCTTCACTACAGCAAGGCAGAACATGTCAGGATCAGCACATAGTAAGCTCCAAGGAGAGACAGGCTTTGCAGAGAAACAGCAGGTTATGATTTCTGGCCTAAGAACATAATAGGCTAGAGTCCAGATTATCTGCCTAATGGAATCTACTGTGGATATAAGAGGAGGTACAAAGATCTGAATCTTTTGTAAGAGGGATCCTATTAATTAATACAGAAATCAGAACTGAGTAGGCAAATTGAAAAATTAAATGGTCTGGTGGAATTTTCAGCATTTATGATCTTCATGAAAGAATATCGCCATGTATGTGGCCTTTCTCTAGTACTTGGTAAGACATATGGCCTCTGAGGAACCAGACCTTATGGGCTGAGCCTATATATTATTTAACGAGGCAAACAGCCACTTACCTAAGGTCCACCTCCTTACCCCCAAAAGGAAAGTCACTTTCAGACTAGCTCTGAAGAGACATGTGAAGATCAGGGTAAGTTGGAGAAGGTGGAGGTTGGGGAGGAGAATTAGGGGGAGAAGGTTACAGTGATCCTGGGTGGTCTGGTGTTTCCTTGAGTCACCTTGGTCTTGAGACTTTGAATCAGACCAGGATAGGGAAAAAATGGGGAAACAAAAAAACCTGACAGTGTAATTAGGGTTGGCAGAGGGAAAAGGGATTCATTTCATTCAAAATTCATAGGGCCACTCTAGACTTTAATTCTAAGAACGAATCTGGTTCCAACGGAACGCATAAGACCAACAGGTCAGTCTCCAAAATGAATCAAACTCTTTAGGTGGAACATAAAATTTCAGGCTGCTCACATTACTAATTTTTTTGTGATGTTGGAGTTACTCAAGAAATGACCTCTGAAATACAGAATGCTAAGATGGAAGAGGCCAGAACATAAAAAGATATCCCAACAGAGAAGAAAGACCATAGATCAAATTGCAGAGAAATTAGATCTTAGTTTCATCAATGGCAATGGCCTAAGAGATGAATGTCTGATGAGGTTCAAACTAGCTTTGATCATCTGGACACAGTTTACAGTGTCATTTCTGTGTAGCTTAGCAAGTTAAGCTGCAAAGCCCTTCCCAGAAAACAAATAAATACATTCTGCTTCTTTAGGGTGTCAAGCTGTGTGCCTGAAAGACCTGTCCCATTTCCGAAGCCCTACAGCCCCAAATCCCTTGGAAAGTGTGCCTTTCCCTGCTCAGTTTCAGAAGTAGTTTTAGGCAATAAGAGGAATTTTCAGGAAGCAGTGTTTCACAACAAGCCCTGCTTTTCTGAGATAGTGCCAATTTGCAGGGAGCTTCCTGGGAAACTATCCAGGTAAGTGACAAGGATGTAAAACTATGGGCCGCTTTGGGGCTGGCCCCCACTTCCTAAACAGAGGTAAGTTGGGTTAGAAAGACGGCAGAACAAATGTCTGACAAACATCAGAGCTGCTGAGGAAATAACGGAGGCACATTCCTCTTGGAACCCAAAAGTGTTAAAATGGACATAAATATTCAAGGAGAAGAAAGAAGTCCTGGGTAAAGAAGGAGGCTCCCAGTATGCACAGGCACGGCTGAGTTCTTGGTGTAGCTTGGCAAAGCCATAATACTCCTTCCTTCTAGCCATTTTACAAAGAAGGCAGTGACAGTGATGGTCAAGGCTGGGAACCTAGGCCATATTAATTCAGTGGCTTCTACAAGGCCTTACCTGGGGATGGGCCAAAGCTGAGAAAGGCAGCTGCTGAAAATTTCTTCCCCAAAACCCCAGGGAACAAGGAGTGCGGAATCCCTGGACTGACTCCTGAGCCTGGACAAGAGAAAAATGGCCACTGCTGAGGATTCAGAGCCAATGGAGAATAATGCAAAAATGCACTGGGAATGGTTACCCCTTTCTTTCCTTCCTCAGCCTGTCCTCTGCGGCTCTGACAGCCCTCCGGGCAGTAACCACACTTTGGGCCAAGGCAACAGGCACAGGATTCTAGATTTTAATAAATAAATAACCTAACATATATGGTGAGCACGGCAGGTAGCTGATTGGAGAAGCAGCTTGCTAGGTTCTTTCCCGTACAGGAGCGGGGTAAAGACTTGGAGTACTATTCCTTAAAACTTCTTCTGGCTTGAGTTACAGGAACTTAATACCTGGAGGGAAAAAGAAAGATGAGACGGTGATGTTATCAGCTTGTGGGGATGCTGGGACATGACAGCCTGGCTAAAGGAGCATCAGGGAGGCAGGGACTCTCTGGAGTGTATGGTGAGGGTGGATAATCATGGTGCCTCTTCACATCAGTGAAAAAGGCCAGTATTTCTCCATAAAGAGGTAAAAATCATATCAAGATGAAATGGAGAATGGCAAACTCAGGGAAGGGAACACTATTTAATGTCGGCAGAGGGCCTCGGAGTCCTTTGGGGGTGGCGGTGAGGGGAACTGGGTTTATTTTTCTGAGCTCATGTAAACATGGTGATGGATGCAAAGACCAATTCCAGGGCAGAACGATCTTCATGACCCAAGCTTCCCTGTTTTCGGGGGGACCCCACGGCACCTGTAGTAATTAGGCTTGAACGGCCCATTCTTGTTGAGTCCCAGATACTTGGCCTGTTCATCTGTCAGCTCTGTCAGGTGGGCATCAAAGGTGGGCAGGTGTAGGCTGGCCACATACTCATCTGGAACAGACCATAGAAGACTTGGTATAAGCACTCATCCTGCTGTCCGGCCGTTCTCTCCAGGTTAGGCCTTAAAGAGTTGGAAGAAACCTTCTAATGCTTGGAGCTGAATGAAACATGCTCAACTGTTGCTCACTGGCCCTCAGTTCTAAGGAACGGTTGCATGAGCTTCAAGCCCCGTGCTTTTCAGAGCCATAACCTTTCTTCCTTACAAGCTGTGTCACCCTTCAACTTTCCTTCTCCCCGCCCAGAAAGGTGAGGGACAAATGAAAGGAGCAACAGGCCTTAGGGTCTAAAGGAAAAGATGGGATAGCGGGAGGATTAACAAAATGGAAAGCTCCAACTTTAGCTCTGCCATGAGTATGATACTTTGAGTCACTCAGAAAAACCAACACCTGGGAAATCAGAAAGGAATGACTAACAATGATAATAGACTGTTTGCCTTGCTTTCAGTACCCTTAGTTCTCTTATGCGTTTCTGTTTACATGCTCTTACCTGAATACATATTACTTAGTCAGAACTTTATGCCATTTCCTACGTATTTGTTTGGTCTCCCTACCTTCATTATACATTTGGTCAGAATATGGAATGTTCTATCTCATTTATATCCTTCCACAGTGTCTATTAAAGGGAACACTTCTAACAGTTGCTATGCATCTAGTGCTAAAGCAAAACAAAACCAGTGGCGGATTTATTCCCTGATCTTTGCCTCAGGAGTTTATGAAACCACTGTATCAGTTCAGGTACTTGAGGCAGGTTCTTTAAAAATTTAAGACAGGTTAATGTTTCCCTCATACAAAACACCCACGTAACTAAACTCTTAACAGGAGCTGTTCAGAATCTTTCCCTTTGGCCTGAAACAATGGGGTGAGAGTTAGACAGTGTAGAATGAACGTCTTCTTGGTCTGGGAAAAGTTTGGGAGGGGTTACCTAGCAGCCTAGAACCGGAATAAGTCAGATATCACAGAGTAGGAGATTATTCCTCTCTCTGGGGGGGAGTTTTTTTCTCCTTTGAGATTCCCACATGCAAGATCCTTTAAGAGAGAAAATCCTTAAAATTCACAGGCAGGTAAACTGAATCACAGCCAAGCGTCCAGACTTCACTAGGGCAACTCATGTGGAAAACGGGATAAATCAACTGAGGATGGAACCTAGAAATCCTAGCTCCTACTTTACAAGATCAACATATCCTTTTGTTTCTCCCCATAAGAAATATAATGCCCTCACACTTCATTCAGCCTCTGACTCGGAACTACTTTGGTAAGGACAGGGACGGAAGAGCACATGCTTACCCATTTTCTTGGGCAACAGGTAGACATCCTGCTTATAGCGACCCTCAGGAGCGTTGTACAGCTCTATCAAGGCAAGAGCCTAGAAAAGCAGAGAGGTGGGTGCCGACATGCCATTCACGGCAACTGAAACCCCAGTGGTCTTATGACCCTCTCCAGCCCACTGCTTCCCACTCTGGAGGCCTTACCTGAGTAGTAGCGGTGATTGAGAGCACAAATGTAGGCACTGTGGAGCAGCTTAGGTTCAGCAGGCGGCCCTGCAGAGCAAGGGTTAAGACACAAGCTGGTTAGGACAAAGCCTCTGGCCTTTGAGGAGTGAAGGAAGGCCAAGCCTGCCACTTTCCAAATACTTCCCAACTCACATTGCTGGACAAAAAGCAGGTGTTCAATACATAGATATTAAGTGACTGACATTTAAGTGAAACCCTAAAAAATTCTGGAAAACTTGATGAAGGTAACAGGTAAAAGAACTCTGGGATGATGTAAAAAGGAATAGAGATGGTCCCATGGTACTGAGGCTTATGTCAAGGAAGGGTATATGTTTCTCTCGAATTTTCTGCTTTCTATAGCAGAATATCCTCCTAACCTATCGGCATTCCTTTGAAAGGCTGTCCTAAACAATAATCTAGTCAAATTCAGGGGCAGTCTCTTCAGGGTGTGAGAGGAGATACTTTTGGATTTAGGAAGCTGTGATCATTTTTGTTCTTCTTCCTCAGTTCGGTTCCCCTGAATTCAGGGGCTGCCTTGTATTTTGAGTGGGTGATTCAGAGACTAGAGAAGCTAGAAACTGCCTCCAATGCCATCCTTTCCTACTTTATTTCATTGACCACCTTTTTTTGCTTAACCATAGAAACCTAAAACAACTGTGGTGCTTGCTTTTGTCACCAAAATTACTAGATGGGACCTGCCAGGGCAACTAGGAATAAGACACCAGACAGTGGGCTGACATCAAAATGAATGAATATTGAGCAAGCTGCACCTCCTTTTTCTTCTCCTCCCTGTATAACCCCTTTCTTGTGAAGAAATAATTCAATCCCTTTTCAGATGCCGTAAAGTATTTGAGAAGGTGATATAAGGTGAGGAAAGGTGAAAAGAACAGGAGGGATACGCAACATAAATTTAAGGGCCCCTAGATGAAGACAGTATATATTTTACATTTTCAAATTCAGTTTCTTTAATTAAAACAAAGAGTATTATTATCCTCCTTGTTATTTTGGTATCTTTCCCTGAAGAAGAGAAAATGTCAAGGTAAGAACAGGGGGCATCGTTATCGCTGTCAGGAATCTAGGACTAAGGAAGAGAAGCTTTCAGGAAAGGACATGTGTCCAAACATTGACATAGAAGGCTAAGTGCAATGGAAATTAAGAGTAAGTCTGAGCTAGAAGAAGCCAGGAGAGGAAAACATCAATCACAACCAATACACAGCTGGGTATCTTCTATACGTCTAGCTCAATTCAGGGGAATGGACACTCAAAAACAGGGAATCTATCAGCAAAGACATGACCTTCCCAGAGTTTGCCTAAGATAGTCTTAGTTACAGTCAGGAATATCTTTTGTGCTTACTGATTAAATCATCCCACAAATGACATTATCCCTTTGTAAGCATCACTCAAAGTGGCATTGGTTCTATCTGTTAATTTCTTTCTCAGTAATAGTCATTATCTGACTCAACCTGTAGAGTGACACAGAGAGACAGGATAATTGGTGAAAAGTGGGGAACCGAAATAGTTTCTTAATTGCCGAATGAAAAGACCTTGCACAATCAGATGTAAAATCCACTGGTAAAATAGTTAAGCTTGTGCTTAAGAGAAGTTGAAAGTCTGAGAGAACATGAGGAGGAGGGGACCTGGGTATTGCATTCTCTCCTGTCAAGGCTGAATCTCTCTTACCAGCCTCAGGTCTTACCTCTGCCAGCAACACTATCCTCTTGCCATCAGGCCATATGACATGGTCCACTTGGGATCTCACTCGTTCCCAGGTCAGTTCTGGTGTCCGCAGACTTGCCTGGAATACATACAGCAAGCACATCATCAGCCATGCCAAGTCCCACGCGGCAGACAGAAAGATGCTGAAGGGAGCCATTTCACATAGCAAGTTGAAAGGAGCAACTGACATGCCAGATGGAGAATACCTGTCCTGGGTGGTTAGGACTGTTCCATTTCAGGGAATTTAATCTTAGGCCCAGCCAGGGAGGGATCACTCGGGATGTCACTCCACAACATATACTGTACGCCCACTCTCTGCTGAGCACAGTAAAAGGTGCTATGGGAAATACAAAAGAAACCAAAGACATGGTTTCTGCCTTCAAAAAGCTCTTATTTTAGCTGGGGACACAAAACAATACATATGTGAGGGGGAGAAAAGCCTTTAAAATACTTACAAAGCGACATGCAAACAAGTGCAAATTAATACAGTGCAAACTGAATACATAAGTGCTGAAGAGACACAGAAAAAAGGAGGATCAGAGCTGAGTGAGATTAGTTAGAGAAGGCCGGATGTCCTCAACACAGCATGCTGGGGCCCGAGTTCTGCCCTCACGTCCCAGGTTCCACCTTCTCAATGATGGCGGTTCACCCTAAAGTTATAGAAGCTTTGTGACCTAAGTGCAAATGTGAGGTAGCCTTTAGAGAAATGCTTAATGGTAGAGTAAAGCTCCCAGTGGCTCACCCTCCTTCCATTTCTGTATAATGTATATTCCGAGAACAAGAGAAGAAACGTTAAGTTTATTAACAGCAGCAATCAAATAACAGTCACAGGGTTTTAGACTTAAGACAACAACTTCCTTCTTCCAATAGGTAATGCCTAAAATAGAAAGGGCATCTATATTCTAAGACTACCCATTGGCTCAAGTTGGTACAATTGAGAAGTCCTGCCAAACAGTAGTTTTCAGACCAATAAAGAGAAACACTTCAGTTACACAATAATCATTTACCTAGTACGTACTATATTCTAGGCACTGTAGTAAAAGACACTATTATAGATAAAACTGTGGATTCCTCTGCTAGACTGTGAGCTATTTGTGGACAGGGGTTTTATCTTCTTTTCATTATCAATCTAGTGGGAAAGATAGATACATAATTATATTTCAGTATATTAAGGATTACATTAATGGTCTGGGCCATTTCTTTATTAAGTAGCTGGGAACTATAACATTTCTTGAGCTGTCAAGTTTCACAAATTGGTTCAATCTTTCTAGAGGGCAATTTGGCAGGAGCTAGCAAAATTTTATATGTATCTAATCTTTGATCTATCAATTTCTCTTCTAAAGCTCTTGCTCAAGTTCAGAAATATAAATGCCTAAGGATGTTTTTCCATTGCTATCTGTAATAGCAAAAATGTAAATTGACAAGGGAAAGGCTAAGCAAATCAGGATAATTCCATGCAGTGGAATATTATGCAATTCTTTAAAAAAGGAAGCATATCTATATGTGTTAATATGAAAATCATTCATTATTGTTAAGTGAAAAAAATCAAGTTGTAGAACAATATACTATAAACTCAATTCTGTAAATTTTTTACGTCTTACTTTAAACATATTTATTTTGTTTGAAATTTTAAACTAAGCAAGCAGTACTTTAAAATTAGAATTTTAAAAAGAAATTTTGTAAATAAACACTGTAAGTAGAGTTAAAAAGAAATTTAAGCAAAGACAACTCGGGGAAGTTAAGGATATACAAAATAAATCCTTTAGCCTGTAGAAATATCACCATGGAAGGCAATACCCACAGAGAGCCAAGAGATACTCCTTGGTGACACTGGTATTTTTTTATTGAGATGAGGGTACTTTAAAATACTTCAAGTTCTTAGTGTCTCGCACTCTTAATCTTCCAAAAGACAAGCAATCTTGGTGACTGGGACTGAAGAGCTACTCCATGATTAACGAGAGTCTCCTCTCATTAGATGGTATTAGAAGGTATTCCTTGGGAAAAAAGATATGTTGGAATCAAGGAAAGGACATTTCTTGTGAACCTCATAAAATGATCAATTCTTAGTAGAGGCAGTTTACGAGAGCACTGGAATGGCTATGATGCAAGCAAAATACCTGAGGCTTAGTTTAAAAACGGGGTTTGAAGAGGAACTTGGTTGAATGATGTCCAGCACCGACCAAGCAGCTCCAACAACCTATTAAGGTCTATTTGGCAGTCACGCTCCTCAAGAGAAGGGTTTCCTATGGCTAACACAGTTTTACAAGAATTTCTCTAAAGACATCCAATTGTCTTTATTGTAGATTTACAATCACTAAGCAATCTACCAGGAAAAACATTCCCTATGCAGACTACCTTCCCAAACTAGGTGTATGTCCCACTGTAAACTAGCCAGTTACTATGCTTGCACAAACTGGTATTATATGATTTTGAACAATGCACATCAGTTTTGTTTTGTTTTTTTCAAAGAGAACAAACTGTAGTTCTAGTGTTACAAAGCGCGTTGTCAATAGCAGGTCTCAGGTTGTAATTCTCTGTCTGACAAAAACTTTTAAAGCATGTGTACATAATGGTTTCAACACTTGAACTGTGAAGCGTACAATCATACAGGCCTTCTATGTGAGGTATACAGGTAAGCAGGTCTGCTTTCAAGGGAGAGGAAATACATGAAAGATGTGGCCAAAAAGCTAAGGACACAATCCCTATCGCAGATCCCCCAAGTATTCACAACATTAATATTTCTCAGGAAAAAAATGCAGCTTTCTAAATGAGCAACTCTTGATGAGTTATTCCTTCCTAAAAATGCAGCAGTCAACATCTCAAGGTTAGGTAAAACTATACATTCTACTTTAAAAAACCCTTAAACTTTTGATTACTAAAAATATCTGGATAAAAACTTACCAAATCATTCTCCTTCGCAGTTTCACTGAGTTGACTTATAGTGACATTCCTCTCTTTTTCTCACATTCCGCACCCAATCCATTTGGCAAATCCCATTGGTCCTACCTTCATAATATATCACTTATTATTGCTTACCCATCTAATCCAAGCTACCACCTTCTATCACTGGAACTACTGAAGAGACTCCCCTTGTCCCTATCACTACTCAAGCTCCAGAAGTGTTTTCTTTATACAACAGCTAGAGTAATCTTTTGAAACATAAGTCCGATTTTGTCAGCCACTTGTTCAAAACCTTCCAATGGCTTTCCTTGTAGCCAGAATAAAATCTGAAGTCCTTATCATGGCCTACAAAGCTCTAAGTAATCCACTGTCTCCTTGAGCTGCCTCTTATCCTCATCCCCTTGCCCATTTGGTTCCTGCCAAGATGGCATCTTTTCTGTTTCTCAAACACATTAAGCACGTTTCTACCTCAGGGTCTTTTACTCACCATTTTTTTCTGAATAGAATGCTCAAATGGCTTGCTCCTTCAGTTCATTCAGGTTTCTGTTCAAATGTTATCTCCTCAGAGAGAGAACTTCCTTGATCATCCTAACTAAAATAGCACTCTCAGTTGTCCTCACCTTGCTGTTTTTCTTCAACACTAGGCACTGACAACACTGTCTATTCAGCGTCCGTCTCCCACAGGACAATATAAGGTCCAGCTAGAGGTATGTTGTTCACTGCTATTCTTCAGCCAAGCACTTGGCAGAGAGCTGAGCAAGTATTCAAATTTGCTGAATAGTGAATGAACATTCTGGTTTTAATTATTAGTTGAGTTTGCTGTTTCCTTAAATTTCATTTTACATGCCCTGTGACACTACCATCAAAGGTTGAATTTAACTTAACTTTCCCAAAGCTCTTCTGAGCATCTCCCTTTCTGGACCATTTCGTTGAGCCACGAGAAGAGCACAGAGATCTGAGATATGGCCCTCAGCCAGTGTCTGTGGCAGATACTAGTGCCACCTGGCACTGCCTGCAAAACTAGGGCTAGTCTCAACATGGAAGCAGGGGTGATCCTTTTAAAACAAAAGTGATCCTTTTAAAACAAAAGTCAGATTGTTACAAATCCTACAGTGTCTCCCTATTTCTCAGAATATAATCAGAAATTCTTACAATGGCCTACCAAGTCCTGTAAGATCTGGCCCGTTACCTCTCTTACCTCAGCCTACTCCAACTATACTGGCCTTGTTGTTGATCCTCAAGCAGACCAGGCATCCTCCTGCCTCAGGGCATTTGCTCTGGCTGTTCTCTCTCCTTGAAAAGCTCTTCACCTAGAAGTCCACATGGCTAGTTCTTTCAAGTCTGCTCAAACGCTGCCTTCTTAATGAGGCTTCTACCTGATCCCTCTGCTTAAAATTACAACCCAGGGCTCTTGATTCCACTTACCATGCTCTACTTCTTCTTTTCTCTGTAGTCCTTTTGCCTTCTAACATACTATAAATCTTACTTATTATGTTAATTGTCTTTTTTCTCCTTTAAAACATAAACTCCTTGAGGGCAAGAATGTTTGCCTGCTTTGTGCATTGATTCCAAACACCTAGAATAGCACCTGGCATAGAGCAGTCACACAATAAATGCTTGCGATTGAAAGGCAAGAGTCTCCCGGCCTCTATGCTGAGAGTTTACTTATGTCTGGGTTGCCTTCAGAGGGGAGATTACCATCACAATTTGAAGTTAACCTGGAAATCCTGAGGAAGTAATAGTACAACATCAGGAATACAAAACAAAACTGGACTAGACGTAAAAAAACCTGGACACTAATTTCATCTTTTAATCAATGTACATGACTGAACAATGTACTTAACTTCTTAGTTTCCCGAATGAACATCAGAATAATGAGTCATGGGATGGTCAAGAGGATGAATGAGATAAAGGAAAAATATAAATATTATATGATTGCATTTGGAATTATTTTTATCTCAGAGCTTCTTGAGGGTTTAAAAGGGAAAATGCCTTCCCCTTCCCCTTAATCAGAAGTCTTCTCATCAGGGCTCAGAGCGTGACTACTTAAGCTTTTCCCATTTGGGGGCTGTCTACACAGATTAATCCAGGAAAGTACAATCATGCGCTGAGCAGTTTTAGAAATATTAATATCTTTGACCATTTACTAAAGGGACAGCATGGCACATAAGTAAAACTTAACAGAAAAAGAACTAAATGATTCATTATAAGTAAAATATCATGGTAAGACATGATATTTTATATAATGAAGCCATGCCACTCAAAAGCATCAAGGATAGAAACAGGCTTGGGTACGTTGTTTGTCCAGCTATTTTTATAAATAGAAGAATAGCGCACAGAGTTAAAAAGAGAAACCATTTCAAATAGATGAGAAACCATTTCAAATAGACACTGTCCAACAGGCTCTCAATGTATCAACTGATCCTTACCTGGCAATGCCGAAGCTCAATCAGAGCAGCCCTCAGTGGAGATGAAAGCATGCTTTGCTTGAGCCATTTACCCAGAGAGAAACACAGTTGTGCCAGAACAGTGCCATAAAAATTTAAAACCAGAGTGAAAGTCACACTGAGAGATATTTTGGTAAGTCTGAAAAGAAATAAATAACACTTCTATTAACTATTACTTGGGCAACTTAGTATAACCAAGTGTTATGCTGGATTGGAAAGTTTTAGGGTGAATGTAATCGAATTAGAGATCCAAAATGATAGTTTCCAGGTTTGAGGAACATGAGGAACACGCACTACTGAGTTGATTGTGACACCTAAAGACTCAATTACTATAGTTTGGAAAGTAGTTAAGGGGAGACCTAGCCCAAAGAAAGAGGGAGAGAAAAGAGAAGCCATAGTATTTGACAGACACAGTCAATCTTAAGCAATATTCTCATCCTAGCCCACAGATTTCTCTCCCTTGACTTATTTCCTTGGACCAAACTACCTATCTCACCTTCATGGTATAATTAAACATCCCCCAAATACTGACTACCATACTAACTCACATTTATTGTATTCTTTTTGTAGTTTTGAATTTACTCAGCTCTCAATCCTAAACATAAAGATAAAATGGCCTACCGTGTAAGTAGGCATCAAGTTTGGGTGGAAGAAAACAATCATTTGAAATAAGTAAGTTGAGACAAAGAAGCTTTATATTATTCACAAGCACAGGTCATGGTGCTAGTAAGTGAACGGACTGTGGACAGCTCTGCCAGGACAGTCATGTTTAGGATGGCTGGTGACCCTGTTCTTTCCTCTTCCAGTTTGTTTCTTGGCAAAGAGGAAAAAAAGTTCCCAATGATGAGTTGCTTGATCTTACCACATCAATCTCCGTGTTGGAATGGCCCATGTTACAAACGATGCAGCTATTCTTCATACGGTCCAAGTGCTCTCTGGTTACCACATTTTTGTTACCTTAAAAACAGAGGAGATAGCCACATGAAAATGAATGAAGTTGGACCCATACCTCGCACCATATGTAAAATTTAACTTGAAATGGATCAGACCTAAATGTACGAGCTAAAACTATAACACTCTTAGCAGAATATGCGAATGAATCTTTGTGACCTTGGGTTAGGCAATGGTTTCTTGGATATACCATCTAGGGCGGGCCAAGTGGCTCAGCTGGTGAGAGCTTGCGCTCTTAACAACAAGGTTGCCGGTTCAACTCCCGCATGGGATGGTGGGCTGCACCTCCCACAACTAAGATTGAACATGGCACCTTGAGCTGAGCGGCCGCAAGTTGCAGATGGGTGGCTGGATGGAGACTGGACTTGCAGCTGAGCTAGCTGCGCCCTCTACAACTAAGATTGAAGGACAACAACTTGGCTGTTCTCCTTCCCCAGTTCCCCAACACTGTTCCCCTCCCCCAATTCCCCAATAAAATCTTTAAAAAACAAAAAATCTAAAGCACATGCAACCAAAGAAAAAAATAAACTGAACTACATCAGAATCATAAACTTTTGTGCTGCAAATGATACCACCAAGAAAGTGAAAAGACAACCCACAGAACAAGACAGATATTTATTTTCAAATCATATAAAAGGGCTTGTATACAAAATTTTTAACTCTTAGACAACTCAATAATAAAGTGACAACCCAATTTAAAAATGAACAAAGGGTCTGAACAGACATTTCTCAAAAGAAGATGTGCAAAACAAGATGTGCCAATAGGCATGTGAAAAGATGCTCAATGTCATTAGTCATTAGGGAAATGCAAATCGAAACCGCAATGAGACACCGCTTTACTCCTACTAGGATAGCTTTCATCAAAAAGACAGACAACAAGTGCTGGCTAGGATGTGGAGAAACTGAAATTCTCATGCACTGTTGGTGGGATTGTAAAATGGTACAGTCACGTTAGAGAAGTTTGGCAGCTCCTCAAAAAGTTAAAAGCAGAGCCACCATATGATTCAGCAATTCACTCATAAGCATATACCCAAGAGAACTGAAAACATGTTCACAGGAAACCTTATACATAATGTTCAGAACAGCATTATTCTCAATAGCTTAAAAGTGAAAACAATTCAAGTGTCCATCAATTGATAAATGGATAAATAAAATGTGGTAAATCCTTAAAATGGAGTATTGCTCAGCAAAAGGGAATGAAATGTTGATACGTGCCATGACATGGATGAACAGTGATGTTGTGCAGTCACAAAGGACAATGTGCTCTATGCTTCCATTTATATGAAATGTCTAGAATAGACAAACCTACACAGACAGATAGATTAATGGTTGCCGAGAACTGGGAAAAGGTGGAAGGCGGAATGAAGAGTGACTGCTAATAGAATGGGGTTTCTTTTTTGGGGTGATGAAAGTGTTCTGTAATTAGAAAATGGGATGTTGCACAACTTTACTAAAAAAAAAAAATCACTGAACAGTATACTTTGAAAGGGTGACTTTTATGATATGTGGGTTATATCTCAATAAAAAAATTAGCTTGTGGTGATGGGTTGTATGACTATGAATTTGCTATAAAACACTGAATTGTATGTACACTTAAGTGGGTGAAATCTATGCTATTGAATTACATCTCAATAAAGCTATTTTAAAAAACAGATTGATGGGATTGATGTGACGAAAGAACAGTTTCTTATGGTCCCTCCTCTCTGCCCCCCAGCTCTTCCTGAGGCTGCAAATATATTTCTATTCTTAAATATTCTGATTTCCTTCCTCTCAAATAATTATAAAAGAAAACCAATGTTCCAACACTCATGGTTCTCCCATCAAGATAAAATATCAGTCCAAGACTAGCCATTTCTGCATTTTCTTCTCTAAAACACAAAATCTACCTCTTTGGGAATTAACACAACAACTTTCCCCACTTTCTCTAATTATGAAGAATTCTTCCCTAGCCTTGCTTTAATTACAGGGACTAGAGAGAAATATACATCACTTTTGGAGGTAGGATAAAAAATCAAATGTGCAAATGTTAAGATCTGGCTTCCCAAATAAAACTCATCTGTAGCCATTTCCTAGGTAGTTGATGATGGATGGAGATATAGAACAAAGGGATGGGGAGAAACTGTCTTTTAGGGATGACAATGGTATACTTTTGGTCAGAGGTCTAAAGAGGTAGGAAGAATGTGAAAGATTGACTGGTTTTGTGGACTACTACTTTTAGCTTTTAGACTTTGGTTTTGTTCAGAACATTTCCCCAAGTCATTTTTCACTTGTTCCATGAAAGCATTCCCAAGTGCCACTCCATTTTGTATGCCATAATCATACCTGTACAGGTAATAACAATATCCACTTGTCGGATGACCTCATTTAATTTCACCAGTCGAAATCCATCCATGCTGTAGAAATAAAGCATTGATTAACCTAAACAAACAGCTGGGGAGCCTTTTGCCACAGAACCTCAAAAGCTATCACCAAGTTCCTTTGGTACCTACACTGTCACTTCTTGATATAGCTGAACCATTCTTAGCAGTGAGGAATTCAAACCATTTCCTTAGTTCATACAGGACAGAAATAAAAGGTTCTTTCACATCACTGGAACCTAATTCTTCCTGATAATAGGGAGACAGGGTTAACTATGAGATGCCCCAATCAAGTTTCTAGTAGGTACCATTTTACCACTGAACCTACTCCCCATTCAAACGGCTTTCCCCAAAAATCATCAATAATCTCCTGAATGCCAAAATAAATTGTTTTCCTTAGACTTATATCACTTGATTTCCTCTGTTACATTAAACATTAATTGTCTTCTTTTTTTTTTTTAGCTGAGCCATCCTGCCACCTGTTGGCAGCTCAGCAGCAGCTCAGCTCAGGCCGGGCATCGAACAGCTGTTGCTTAGACTCAAACTCTTGAGCAAGCTCTTAACCAACTGAGCCACTCGGCCGGCCCTAATTGCCTTCTTAAAACTCTATATTCTATGGACCGGCCGAGTGGCTCAGTTGGTTAAGAGCTCACTCAAGAGTGTGAGTTCTGAGCAACAGCGGTTTGAGTCCTGGCCTGAGCTGAGCTGCCAACAGGTGGCAGGATGGCTCAGCTAAAAAACAAACGAAAAAACTCTATACTCTATGCCCCTTGGAGTCCATGATACTGTTTTCTCCTGATTCCTACTTTTCTGATTGCTCCTTCTTGATCTCAGTCAGTCTTGAAATGCTGGGACTCTGTAGGGAACTCTTTTCTCTATTCTTTTAGCACTTATCCGTATCTTTTCCTTGGCTGTACATGACCCCCAGTAGGCGGTGTCCTGGTATAGAATTAACCCCTGGTCATTCGCAGAACGTGAAAGAATTCACGTGACTCTACAAAGTGAGAGAGCAAGTAAAGGTTTTTTTAAAGTCAGGCAGAGAGACAGAGACAGAGACAGAGAGACAGAGAGAGAGAGAGAGAGAGAGAGAGAGAGAGAGAGAGAGAGAGTTCTGTTTGGAAGAAATACTGACAAAAGGAGTTTGCCAGAGTAGAGTCTGATGGAGACGGCTACTGAGACAGAGGGGTAAGAGAAATGGCAAAAGAAGTTTGCCAGGGCAGAGTCCAATAGGGACAGCTGCTGCGGGTTTCTATTTAGCTGGGGTTTTATATTGTTCTGTGCAGGATGTAGGGTGCTTGTCAGCTTGCAGGGGGGCTGCCGTTATAATTGTCTTCTCCTGGGAACTGTCCTGTTCCCATCTATGATGGGCGTTTGTTAGCTTGCAGGGGGTTGCTGTTGAGATTGGGAACTGTTCTGTTCCCACCTGTGATGGATGTAGAGTGCTTGTCAGCCTGCAGATGCAGTGCTAGCAGGGGGGTCAGAGCCAAGCGGTTAATTTTTAAGCTCGCTCCTCCTAGCTCACAAGCTTGCTCCTGTTAACTCTTTGCCTGTCTCATCAGGTGGTTGAATTGCACATCTGTATCTTTAGCTTACATCTCTCCAAAAAGCTTCAGAGCCATGGATCAAATTATCCACTGGCTAGCTCCTCCTGGATGTCCCACAAAGATCTCAAACTTACTGTGTTTCAAAAGAAACTCATTATCTTCTCTGTACCCCCAACCCCATCTATTTCTTCTACATTTTCTATCTTGATCAACAGCATTACTATTCACCCACCTGTATAAGCCAAATAAACTAGAATGTCCTAGCCTACTGCCTGTCCCAAATTGATGCTGTCTCTTGAATCTGTCCCTTCCTCTCCATATATGAAGGCTTTGCTTATGTTCGGGTCTTATTATTTCTTGCTTAGATTACTACACTAGCATCTGAATCAATCTCGTTGTCTCAAGGTTTACATCTCTCTAATTCACCTTGCAGACTGATTTCCCTAATGCAATTTGGATCGTGTCACTTCCTTGCTTAAAATACTTCAGTGAGATTGCATGACCTCAGGGTAAGACCCAAATCCTTATACTGATGTATGATTATATTGACATATGATTCCTACCTCAGACATTACCACTCCCCAAATTTATCCTATCGGCCAGCTACATTAAAATAATTCAAGCTTCTTAAATATGCCACGCTCTCTCCTTCCGTGGTGACTAAGCACATGTTCCCTGTACCTGGAATTTACCTCCAAACTAAGAAATCACACAAGTTTTAAGACTCAGCTCTATTGACACCTCTTCCGACCCTGCCCCCTTGCTCTCTGGCTAGATATTTCTCCTTTGTGCTCCTACAGATGCATGTGCTATTTACCTCTAACACAGCACCTATTACACTGCACAGTAGCTATTTGTGCTTCTAAAAGCAGGGACCTGTCTCATTCATCTCTTCATCTTCAGCACAGGGCACAGTACCTAATATATCGTAAGTGATCAGTTCATGTCTATAATTTGAATTAGTATCTCAATCAGTGTTAAAGCATGTTCAGGTTTCTCTAATGAACTGTTAAAGGACTAGAATGGTGAGTTCCCTTCGTGTGCTGGAGCCCTGTCCCAGAGAAAGCCAACAACTCTGTTGGGGAAACCTGTGGGTTTATGGCTAGGATGTGTGAGGAGTGGTAGGGTAGGGGGAAGTGATTATGGTAAAATCTTTATGCCATGCCTCATTCGATCCTGGGTGCCTTCCTCTGGGGGGTTAATGGTAAAAGCTGGGTGTATTATCCAGGCTACAGACACTAGGGCATTGCAGTAGTTTACAGAGACAGTGATTTTTCTACCCTGCTGAGGATGGCAGGAGACAATTTGAATAATAGCTACCGCTTAGTGAGCATTTGTTATGTGACAGCAGCTCTGTGCTTTATACAATTATGTATTTGTTATATAATGTATAATCATATAGAGCTTTCACAACTCTTTGAGGTGGGTAAGATTACCCACATTTTACAGATGGAAAAAGAACTATTCTTTTTTTTAACTCTTAATTTTGGAATCATTTCCAACTTAAGAATCACAAGAATACTACAAACAACTCCGATTTACCCTTCACTCAAGAGTCAGCAGATGTTACCTTAAATTTGGCTTTGTCTGATGTGTCTTCCTGATTAGATTTAGGTTATACATTTTGGGGAGGGATATTACAAAAGCACTCTATTTGGTGCATCACATCAGGAACGATCTGGTGCCAGCCGATTTCTTTTTGGATCATTGTTTGCCAAGGGAGAAGGATTATAAATGGAGAAGGTAAGGGGCTGCTTCCATAGGAATTCTAAATTTTAGCCTGTCTGATAGTCTCTGCTCTCTCTGAGCAGAGCTCCTTGATTTTCAAAAGAAAGGCGCTTATAGTTCATAGCAGCCTCTCTTAGGATCTGGGCCCCTCTAAGTTAAAGTGTGGAATTAAGCAGGCCATGGAGGCGGCTACAAGGTCACATGTTAGATGGCTGTGTAGAAGAAAACGCAAGTCTCCTTTTGCATGCTTACCAGGCTTGAAGAGCACAGATGGGGTCAATCTCGGTTACATAGACAATGGAGCCCATGGCTTTCAAGGCAGCACAGCACCCCTTCCCCACCTGAAGAGGGGAGAGCATATACTCAATAAGGAAAGTCAATGAAAAAACAGTTTTTCAAAGCTTCTGGTAAAGAATACCCCGCTTTGTGCCCTCAAAAGGAATTTCACTGAATAGATTCATTTTAGGGAAAAATAAGAAAAATGAATAAATGAATGCAGTTCATAAACAAACTCCTAGCCCCTGCTTAGTACATGCATGTACATAAGAACACCCACACTCACGATTTATAATCAAAACACAAGCTAAAAGAACATCACAAACTGCACTGGAACAGTCAGAAAATCAACTTAAGAACAAATGGCAAAAAAGGCGAAAGAAAAAAGGAAGGTTGTACTTTAACCAGAGGGCCTCTAAAGTTACTTTTTCCCATCTAAAGTAGTAAATGAGTGTACTCTGATGTCCATACAAATGAAAAATTCTACTTTATTTCAACAAAATACATTTTAAACACCTAATAATTGAAAGGTTAAACCTTACCTCTCCATAGCCACAGACCACCACCTGCTTTCCACCAAACATCATGTCTGTTGTCCTTTTAAGTCTAGTAGAAAAAAAACATTAAATCAGAAAAATCTCGTTTCTCCCTTGAGATTAGATTGGGTCCCTTTGTTTTTATGTCTGGGTCCCTCTCCTCCCCCCCCCCCCCCCCCCCCCCCCCCCGCTTTGAAAGAAAGCTTGGTTTCTATCCTAGATAATATATTTAATAACTAGAAAGGAAGGTTTAATAAAATATCTATTTTCTCTCTCCATGTTATCCAATCAATTCTATCTATTTGTGAGTTTTTTTCTTTTTTACCCCTTGTCTTGGGAGTGGTACAGAGAAAAGAAGCTATAGGCTACAAAGTAACTTTTAAACCTAAAAGCAATATATATTTATTATATAACACTTGGGATATATACTATTTGGAAATAAAAGATATAAAGAAGACAATAAGTCTCATGTAATTTTTTTGAGGCGGTGACAAACTCTGGCTTAATGAAAACAGTCTAGCTTATTGAATTAGATAGACACATCAAACACAACAGTGATAAATGAGCACTACATTTAGTATTAATAGTATTCGAACGGCCAACGGGTCCCACGTTAATGCATCAGGGAGGGTGATGAGCACCAAGACGGAGAAGAGCTTTGAAACAAGCCAACATTGACTAGGAGACAGTGAGTTTTCTGGGGCAGATGACTTCTCAGACTTGTTCTACTTCTTTAGCTCTGATTCTCTATGACACTAGAATAAAGGTCCTTGCTGTTTTCAGGGTCTCCTTGAAGAACTTGTAGGAGAAGTTCCTGGTTTCTCTTTAGGTTCTGTTTCCCTTGTCTAAGAATCCCTGGCTAGGCAGAAGAAAGTTTTCAACTAAAACCAGCCTATTCTGAGATAGACAGTTCCTACAAATATTTGTGGGTCTTTCTACTTACTTATCTGTTAAACTTTCCTGTTGAAGAGTCTATAAATGCCCCAAAGGCAAAGTAGGAATCCTGTCTTTTTAATGATTTGACAACTCCACTCAAAAAGAACTAAAGTAACTCCATAAACCCAAATGAAATTCAATAAATGTCAATCAAGTGCAGAGGCAATTCCTGTTGAGTGAAGAGAGTAAGTCTGGCAGGGCTATCACCATACTCTAAAGTCACGGCTTAGGACAATGGTCCTGGGATGGGTAACACAGCAAGGAAAATCAACAGATCCTATTTCTGCTTTGACCACCCTCAAGCCTTTCTGCCTCTCTTCCAAACTACTCTTTGTACTCTCTCCTGACTACAAATGACTGTGTGGTGGAAAGGAAACTTCATCAACGCTGCTACTCTGCAAGTGATAGGCTGACAGATTTGATGGATTCCAGTTAGGTAATGATCTCCCTGTGATCTGAGGGACGCAGATCTGCCACAAGGTTTGAGGACAAAGGATAGTGAAGACCTCAGTCAAGGAAGGACTTTTTGGGGAGGGATGCGAGTAAGCTGTGTAGTGGTGTGTAAGAGTCATGTCATGTCTCTGACTTCTAATTCTTCTAGACCCAGGGCCTTCTAGAAGAGTTCCTGAAATATCAATTTTATGATCTGAAAATCCTACCTGAGACAACCTTATTCTTTTTACCAAATGGAACCTCAGTCTCCACTGCACTGCTTTTTGGCATTGCAGACCAATTACAGAAGCGTCCTCTAGCAGTCGGCGGGGCCATTCCCTCACAGCTCATGGGGTAGTGTATAGCCAGCTGAGAACTACAGAAGCTCAATCACTAATCCTTTCCTCATATGAACTCACTACTGGCCTGAATGGCCTCCCTTCCATTGCAGCCTTCCCTGGAGCCTACTTTGCCTCTTCTTTAAGTTCTCCTGCTCTCAACTCGTCTGAGTGGAACAACTGCCCGTGACCCAGTTGGAAAGTTTCTCACCGTCTGAAGGTGCCAATGAGCTCTTACTACTCAGCAGGTTTCTGGTACATAGTTGTTTTCCTGTTTCTTCATTAACTGTAATTTCTGTTCCACTGCTTGCATCTTACTCTCACATTCATACATTTCTGACGTTAAAGAATCTTTCTTACCAGCAGGGTAGATACTGTTTAGGAGGGACTTTGTCCATTTTTCATGAACTAGTATAGTTACCTTTATGTATCTTTTACTGCACTTAGTATAGGCAGATTTTAGGCTCATAGATTTGAGACTTGAAAAATCTATAAGATATTTAGTTGTGGATGAGCAAATATTTTAATGAGCATATACCCAGATAATTATTGATTTTATTGGGCACAAGGTTATTTTCATCACAATAACACTTATATGTGGATAGAACTAGGAACAGTCTATAAACAGACTGATGCTTTGAGAATTCACTCAAATGTCCAATCTATCTGATAACACTATTGACTCAAAGGAGTAATAATTAACAATAGTTTGAATTGACATTGGACATTCCATCGCCCCTGGCCCCCCCCCAAAAAAGAATTCAAAGCAAAAAGCTTCCCCTAAGATCTAACTCAATCTTAGGGCTTACTGTACAGGGTTCTTAAAAAAGGGCATGGGAACTAACACTGACTATCAGGATTCATACCTTATCTCATTTAATCCTCACAATAACTCTATCAGGTAGGTCTTACTGTCACCATTTTACAGATGAGGAAATAGGCACAAAGGGGTTAAATAACTGATCCAAGCCTGACAGTTAATAAATGATAGAGCCAATAGTCAAACCAGGTCCTTCTGACTCCAATGCCTATGGTGTCGCAAGCTGCCTGGGGTCCAGAATGGTTACTAACGTGGCCCACAGGCCCTTTCTTCACGTTCCCATTGTGCTACACATGATGGAAGCCAACGAAATGGTTTCAGATGGGGAATTACTGAGTCTTCCTAGCAAGAATGAAGGAATGTCGGGACACAAGTGTTGAAACAGAGTATTTGGTATATATCTAAGTGGAGTCTGCCAAGACTTGCAGTCCTTACAGATTTGGAAAACTAGAAATGCCCTGGGAATTGATTCTTTGTTCACCACAACTTTCCTGGTGGCCAGAGAAGTATATGATAGTTGGAACACTTTCCCAAACCATCAAAGATACTTACATGTTTATAATTACTTTAGTTAGTCTCAGGCCTGTTAGGGTCACCAAGTAAAAACTGTCACCAGTAGATAGGGGGTTGTCTGATTTTTTTTAAGTCAAATAGATTTGCTTGTAATAGTGATAGCAGTGGTAGCTCTGGGTTACAAAATCTTGAGTACGATGTGGTGATAGACCCAGAGGTACTACATGAATACTTTCCAGAAATAACCAGAACCAAAAAACTTAGAACTTCAATTCAACAACTCAAGTTCACGTCAAAGATGATAAAAAATTACCCATCAAGAATTGATTCACGGCAACAGTAGAGGTTGTCAAATTTCTGTTTGGTGACTGAGTCATTGACATTCATGGCTGGAACACACAGCTTCCCAGCTTTGGATAGCTGGTACAGCCTGAGAATGAGGAAAATCAAGAACATAAAACAATGAGATACTGCAATCTTCCATCAATTTCATATCAAATTCCAGAAATATGTTGATTGGGTAAGCATGAGAGCATAAGACATGACTAGTTTATCCTATTAGGGGTATATGGAGAAATAAAGAATATTTTTCTAGAGCCTTTATACAGCTTAAAGATCTTAGTTAAAAAAGGCATGTGGGGAAAATCTCTGACCCCCCTCTAAATTGTAATGATTAAAATGTAAAAATCTAAATTGCTTATTAATTTTATTTCCCTTTTTAATTACAAAAGGAATAACTTTAAGTACTATTTTAATCCCACTACTCTAATGCAACAATTTTAACTTTCAGTCTCAATTTTATAATCTCAATATATATACCTATAAGTATGTATATGTATATATAGGAGTTTTATTTAAATTGAGTCAACTAAAACTCAGAACCAGGTGTTTTATTCAAAATTCGATCCTTTTTAAGAGTCTGATGGTATGGTACAGTCTATAGTTTTGTATATTCAAAAAGATCAGAGAATACTGAAGCAGTGATGATGGCATATTCAGAATTTACCTCCCTAAAACTTTTATTTCACACTTTCAGCTCTTTCTGGGTGACTAATAGTAAACAGAAATGATTTCAGTTTTACTCAGGGAATTATTGCTCATTTGAGAAACAGAACCGTAAATCCTTGCTCTCTGTATAAGAACGTAAGTGCTATGAGGGCCCCAGGTTTTGTCTAGAGCCCTGGCACAGTTCTTAGAGCCGTTCCTGGCTCACTGTAGAAGTTCAATAAATATCTGTTGAATAAATGAATTCATCCAAAAAGGACAGGCAGTCATTGCATTACAATGACTAGAAAACATGAGGACGATACTTGTTTCCCTACCCTTCCCTCTCATTATTTTAGGTTTGCTATTTGTGTTGTTAATGAAAGAAAACAAGTGTGCAGACTCAGATCTCATCAGCTCATAGTAGGTTCCAATTTTTAACATAATGTATTGTATGTGATTACAAAATATGTCTAGGCTGCATAAAACCAGGTATGCCTATGCAAACCTTACCTGTGGACTCCAGTAACACTCTCTTCTACTATGCCCTTGATTTTCTTAAACATGTTGGGATACTTCTTATAAATCCAGTGAGTAAGATCCCCTCCATCATCCAAGATCTGCAACAATAAGCATCAATAATGTCATTCATTTTGCTGAAGGCTCAAGGCTTGCAGTGCTTCTCTGGGTCTTATATTCAATTACTAATCGTCCATTTATTGATATTTCAAATTTCTGAGATTGTTATGAAAATTAACTTGAAGCCAGTATAATGACCAAACAGTCATTATACGGAAGTAAAAAACAATGAAGGGGTGAAAGGCCAATTGTAATTCTCACAGCCAAATGATCATCCCACGGCACACCTACTGGATCAAAATACACAGCAATGCAATGAGGATTCTCTTAGGGACTAATAAGTTAAGTGGTTATCTAGACCATTAGCTCTTGAATATGTTGTAGATATTCAGAAAGCCTAAATTTGATATTAGCCTATTTTTATTGGTTAAATTCAGAACCTTAAACATAATCAATCAAAGCTTAGTTTAAATAAAGCCAGATAATTAGTCTCCCTCCCAGAACAATGGTTTATGAAACTGTATTCATTAATTTTTTACTTCTCCCAAAGTATAGGCACTGTCCAACCCAAAATATCAGGCAGCACTGTAGGGTTTTTGCCTAGCACGACTTTACACTATAAACCAAATTAAAAATAACTAGGGAACTGTGCAGCATGTAGGTGTGCAAGCATGCCTCTGACCAGCGAATCACTATTTCAGGTTGGGATTAAAGACAAACACGATGCTGTACCCACTGGAGCTTTCATCAGCAGGGGAAAGTTTGTGAATTATAAATAAGCTAAAGAAAGACCAGCTGAGGATATTATCAGGCACTAGGCCATGGCACTTCAGCCCTTCACCTAGCTGTCAGAAATGCTTGGCAGGACTTTCCAAATTGTGATACCCATCCTCTCAGAAAGACCCATAGAAATGAATTGCCCTCTGCTGGCATGAACCCATTTTGCAATCTTGTCAATTATCAACTCTACTGCAGTTGCCAAAAATGCCATCCTGGACCCCTGGGTACACAAAATCCCCAACCTCATGTCTACCACCTGATCTCTTTTTTGCTTCTGCTCCTGCTGTTGATCTACTTTCTCTGACTCAACTAAACCTTACTTGAGAGCAGGGATCGGAGGCAGAACTCTCATTAAAACTCTTACACTCGCTCCATATTGTAAGTCTGTGCTCTACTTTTCCCCAGAAGAAACCTTCAGAAAAGATGCCCTAAGAAACGGGAAGGCGGGCCGGCCAAGTGGCTCAGTTGGTTAAGAGCTCGCTCAAGAGTGCGAGCTCTGAGCAACAGCGGTTCGAGTCCAGCCCGAGCTGAGCAGCCGCTGAGCTGCCAACAGGTGGCAGGATGGCTCAGCTTAAAAAAAAAAAAAGAAGCGGGAAGGCTCCTCTGAGTTTCTCTCTCCCTTTCTGCATGGATGAAACCCCTCATGGAGTTTTCCCTTGTAGCCTCTGATTCGCTAGCCATACAAAAGATTGAGCAACCGGAAACTGTTTCTTAATTCCTACTATTCTCACCCATTTTTCCCTTTTAACAAAGGTATCTGACACAGGCAGGCAGTTGTCATCCCTAATATTTATTGAATGAAATGTAGCCCATGATTCTTACCATGTACATCTACTGCAGAAAATTCTAGCCACCGGGGAATCTTCCTGAGGTTGGAAAGCAAGGAAAAGGACCAGATCTTGACAGGATCCCAAGAGATAAGGGTCCTGTTTCCTGAGGGTGACAAGTGTTTTTATCCTTGTCTTACTCTCTTTGTCAACCTTTCCAGCAGTTTCTGCAGGCTCTACAGTCTATAAAAGCTCTCTGGGAACAATCCCATGTACTCCCTATGTTCACGACTATAAAACTAATATTTCCAGTAGAAACCCCCTAACATACCTTCTTTAGTGCATGTCAGTCACCCTCCCTCCTATTACTGTTAAACTTGGCTGGAATTCGCTGACTCATAGCCGATTCCTCCCTCCTGTTCTGGATATGAGAGCTGTAACCCAGCTTCCTCAAACCAGTCCATGGTGCAAGGTGACCTGGACCACAGAATCCAGAGAGGTAGGCTGCTGCGCCTCTCTGCTGCGCCAGGTGAGGCCCACTCTGCAGTATTTAGCAGCAAGCAATAGTTGGACTAGAGCTTCAGGGATTCTTTTCGCAGTTGACTCCCTAATTTCTCTTCTCACTCACATGCAGAGATGTTCATGAAGTAGAAGGGCCTGATACTCTATGTAGCTTTTTGCTTCTGTTTGTGAATCTAATACGCTATCAGCCTTCAAGAACTTAATCTTTTAAAAAAATGAAACAAACAAACAAAAAAAGTAAAAATAAAAACCCCAAAACTTTGCCTAGTTATGTTTCTTAAGATGGAGAATGAATAAAGAGAAGAAATTTGAACTTGGAATCCCTTCAGGTTTACTATGGATTCAGCATTTTAGCATATGGTTTTAGAGTTAAGTACCACAGGAGCTGTGTGTGTGTGTGTGTGTGTGTGTGTGTGTGTGTGTTTAAATTACTGTTGTTGGGGGGGGGGAATGGTAAGTCATTAATCTTCTTTTTTAACCAGCCATGTGTGAACCCTGAGCAGAATTTTAACGTTGTAGATGAATATGAATGCTTCTAAGACCAGCCCTAACAATTACAGCACTTTGAGGCTATAAAGGTCAGTGTTCTTGGGGTACCATGAGGATAAGCATGTAGCTCTGCTGGAAGCCCTAGTACATCAGATAGAAAAGGAGGCATTTCCTTTTCTCCTGCCGGGGAAACCCTCTCCTAGGCCAGAGCCCCCCCACCCCCCATTGTGTTAGTAGAAATCTAACCCACCATATTTGGCTGCCAGCCCTCCACATTCACACATCTATCAATGCACCACCAAAAGTCATCTTCTGACTCTCCTTTCCAGGCAAAGACAGGAAATCCTGAGAAAAAGGAACAAAGAGAAACCATTAAAGCCTAAAAAAAGAGTTGACCCTAAATTTTGGCAAGAAGATGCTGGTTTTCCCCAATTCCAAACTCTCTTGTTCTGGGGTACTCCTTGGATTGACTTTCTTCACTGATTAGTATTGACTTCAGCCCCTTTACCTACTCCTTTGTCTTTGGTGGTCATTTTGCTCTTGTTAGATCAAAGAGGACAAACAAAAGGGACAAGAGGATGATGGACACTAAAAATATGACTAAAGGAAAAAAAGAAAAAACCAGAAATAAGTACTTCTTCATCCAATCTAACTGGAATTCTCACCATTTCCCAACTACACTTTGATCTTTCTTGCTTCTATGCTTGAGTCATCCCATCCTCTTCATCAGGAAAACCCTTAGACTCTTCTCCATCTGTTAAAATGTTGTTATATTTCATGGCCCAGGGAAGTGTCATGTTCCTAAGGAAGTCTGATTAACTCAGCTGGAAGGGATCTCTCATGAAACCTGAACTTTTATAAGCCCCTTGTTTGGGTGCTGCATGTGGATTTATGATCTGTCGTGGCATTTATTATCATCTATGCCCTTGTATGATCGTTATCTATATATGTGCCTTTTCTCCTCAAGCACAATATAAGATTCTGAGGGCAAAGGCATTGTCTCATTTGTATTTATATCTCTTATAGGAGGTATAATAAGCATTTGTTGAAAAAACAATGAATGTATGTATACAATTCATTGGGCTATATATTTAATATTTGTGTACTTTTCTATACAGATTTTACACATTAATAAAATTCTTGTAAATGAAAGAACAAATGAAATGTTGAAAGTGCTAACAAAAGGAGAGACATGCATGCACTAGAGAGCTTTCCCAGCACTTCTCAAGAGCTCTGAAGCAGGGCGGCCAGTTAGCTCAGTGGGTTAGAGTGCAAGTGGGTGAGAGTGCAGTGTTCATAACACCAAGGTTGCCGGTTCGATCCCCACATGGGCTGTGGAGAGCTGTGCCCTCCACAACTAGACTGATACAACTACTTGATTTGGAGCTGATGGGTCCTGGAAAAACACACTGTTCCCCAATACAAATTTTTTTTTTAAAAGCTCTGAAGCAAATGTTTGGTACCCTGATTTGTGTTGTGCTACCAGAAAGTGAAGAGAAAAAAACTGGTAAAGTCCAAATTTCTCTATTTCTTTTATCCTTCAAGTGTCAGTGACCATTGTGATCAAATATTAATCTGCCAGGTCAAATCCTGTTTACCGCTTAGGTAGAAACACCAAACATTAAATCAGGGCAAACAGTTGGAAATCCAGCAGACCACAAAACCCTGCCTGAAGCATTTTCTTTTCAATCCATATTGAGTGGTGTTCACTGGTGCTCTAATATTAACAAGTCAAGGCAAATAATTAACTAATAATGGAATATTAAATGTAAGAAGGTATTTATGATTGTAAAACAACAGTTACCTAGATCACATTTAATAGGAGAAGCCCAGAAAGAGAGCAAACTCATCAAGAAGAAGGAGCCATGCCTTCTAAGACAGCTCCTGTAATGTCAACCTTCCTTCAAGATTTATATTGAAACCATGGAATCTGTTGGAGACTTACTTTAGCCAAAGACGCAGAGAAAAAGCAAAGATCTTACCGCTTTCTGCTAGAGCAGCAGCCACTTCATTGAGAGTGGAATAGATGTTGCAGGCAGCCCATCGGCACTGGGCCCCCAGAGCACCCAGAGTTTCCATAAGCACCTAGATTCAAGAGAAAGCAGGAGATGAGCAAGCCTGGGCCAAACAACTGGTCAAGGAGGTTAAATTTATACATTGGATAACGAGAAAGTACATCAAGAATAACTGAGGCCAATGATTTTTCAAGTTGGGCTCTATACAGACTCTTCAGGATTTTGATAAGAGGGCAAGGGTTGGGGGTAGGCATGAGGGGAAGGCTCCAGCTGAACTTTACACTTTTACCTGTGTAACATCGTCAGCTTCCCTGTAAGACTTAACTAAACCAGGGATGTCAGAGCCAAAACATTTTGCTTAAAATTACCAATTTGCATACTTCTGCTTTGTCTTAGGATATAGGAAGTTGTAAGAGAACTCCTACCCTAATAACAAGAAAACGCCAGATGATCTACAAAACCATACCTTTTCTTGAGCCCATCAAAGAGCTGAAGTCATAGAGCAAGCACGTGATCTAAACTCCAAAGAGTGACAAATCCCTTTAAGGAGAAGAGGGGACATGGTTTCTTTTACTCTTGGCAGAGCATGGGAAGAAGGGGTGGCTGCCACACAGGAGGGGAAGAAAAAATTAGCTACAACTGTAATGAATTTAGTAGAGGCCAAGTGTGGAAAAGCATGTCAGTTTGGAATTTCTGGCAGCCCCAGGCACAAACAGATTTGGCACTCACATGCAAGCTTTTTTCCAGGGTGGGTTCCACCAGGTGCTCACAAGGAAGACTGGGGGCAGGGAGCTAGCTAACTGGCTGTCTCAAAGACAAGCATGAAACCAGGGCACGTCCCCACAATCTTCTCTCATAGGAGGCAAAAGCTATAAGCAGAGGAGCAGGCAAAGATCCACTGCTTTGGGAAGAGGCCAGAAGCAAACACTCTGCTCCTGGGGGAGGAGCAAGAAACTGTCTTAGGCCTAGGACCCTGCACTGCTACAAAGTAAAGATCAGCTACGTCTCCAGGAGGGGCAGGAAAAGACCTCCTGCTCAAGACCTAGCACAGACACAAGGCACAATTTGGCTGCTACAGATGTGAGAACCCTGAAAAAGCCCTCCCCTCACAGAGGCCTGCCTAGACTGAGGCTGGACCTGACGATCCACGCACCCCAGTTGCCCTCACCATGAGTGAAGCTCCAGGAAAGGAGGAGCAGCAGGCCAGTGCTGAGGTGGTGCATGCACGTGCAGAGAGAGCCCCCCTGTGGCAAGCACGTGCAGAAGCAGCTGAAGGCTGAGAGGGTGGAGCCAAAACACTCAGGAGAGGAATTTGAAGCCTATAATGCACATCAACAGAATCAAAATCTAGCACAATTCATGACAATAATGGAAACTAATACACTACTGTTCAATATAAGATTTTTATATACAAAAAAGTGGAAAAAAAACACCCCGCAACCAATTGTCAACAAATATAAGTATTCAAGAAAACCAGACTCTGTGATGAGCTAGATGTTTGATCAGACAAGAACTTTAAATTTACTATGATTAATATGTTTATGTTAAGGAGTCTAGTGAGAAAGATGAACAATATCCATGAACCGATAGGGAATTTCAACAGAGAGATAGAAATGATAAAACACATCAAATAGTGTCAGAAAAAAAAATGTATTTAAGGTATCAGAGATGAAGAATTCTTTCATCACACTTATCATCAGACTGGGCATTACTGAGGACAGAATCAATGAACTGAAAGTTAAATCAACAAGGGCCGGCCGAGTGGCTCAGTTCGTTAAGAGCTAGCTCAAGAGTGTGAGCTCTGAGCAACAGCGCTTTGATGCCCGGCCTGAGCTGAGCTGCTGCTGAGCTGCCAACAGGCGGCAGCATGGCTCAGCTAAAAAACAAAAAAACAAAAAACAACAAACAAACAAACAAACAAACAAATATATATATCAATAGAAATTACCAAACTGAAATACAGAAAGAAAAAACAGTGGGAAATAAATCAGAAGACAGCATCCAAGATCTATGGGATATTATCCCCAATGGTCAAACGTACATGTAATTAGAGCCCTAAAAGCAAAGGGGAGAACAAGGCAAAAGAAATATATGAAGAGTTAATGAGCAATTGTAACCCAAGACTAATGAAGTAGGATTCAGGAACAATGACATTCTAGTAGCAAAGAGCACACTAGTGTACAGACCCACTAAAAGAAACCAGGGCTCCTTGGAGAAATGGCTGTTTCCAGGGCTAGGACAGGGAATGTACAAGCTGAGCTTAGATCATCTGATACCAGAAGCAAGAAGTGCTCAAAGAATGAAAGAGATATGTCAAAAGACAAGCCACAGGAGCCAGACTAAAGGGGTTCCCCACTGGCCAAAATTGGAACAAGTTGAGCATCACAATAAGGAATGACAGCAATGGATTATAACCCATTAAATATTGGGCTGTCGGAAAAGTCATGATGCATTTTTGCAACGAAAAACAGAAAAAATACATCATGACTTTTCCGACAACCCAATCAAATAGGAAACAATGATTCCACACAAACAAACAGTGAATAAAATGAAAGTCTGATAGAGAATGGGATATTTATACAATTTCATATTACTACCTCACAAAATACTTATTAATTATAATGGGGAAAAATAATGTTTAAATGGAAAGGTTTGCCAGACACCACCTCAATCAAGGGATCAAAATGAACATCAGTTATTGGACAAATCAAAATCATGTGTCACCTGATAAGATTAAATTTTTTAAAATGCAGCATCACTTTCTACCAAAGATGCATAGCCTGAATCTAATGAGTAAGCATCAGAAAATTTCAAATTGAGGACGTTCTACACAATAATTTGTCTATAGTCTTCAAGTGTCAAGGTCATGAAAGTCAAAGACTGATGATTCTGCACTAAAGGATACTAAAGAGAGAGGACAATTAAAAGAGACACAGCACTATGGAGTGGATCCTTTTGTTATAAAAAATATTATTGGGGGCAGGCTGAGTGGCACTTTGGTTAAGAGCTGGCTTGGGACGCCAGCTCTGAGCAGCAGAGCTGATCCCACATGAGGGTCAGTGACATTGCCCTCTACAGCTAAGATGGTGAGCAGCAGCTCGACTTGGAACTGGGCTGCCATGAGTCACCGTTGACGGCGTAGGCTGCAGCCCCTGCTGCAGTGGGTTGCCATAAGCTACCGTGAGTGGCCGGCAGCCAGCGTGAGCGGCCAGCAGCTGATGTGAGCTGCCAAGAGCCGCTGTGAGCAGCCGTCCAGAGGCCGGTGACTGATCTGCCTCACCAGGGAAGAGCGCAATGATAATAACAACATGAGCCAGTGAAGCAACGTCCTCCACAACTAGACTGAAGAACAAAAGGACAGCAACTTGTCTGTTCCCCTCCCCCAATTCCCCAATAAAATCTT